ACCTTTATAATTTTTGAAACCTTGAATAGCTTGCAAATTTTCTTTCAACAAGTATTAAACCTTAGCATGTGAAAGAAAGGAAACACCGAGGACTTGGGCCTAACCCCCAAAATATCTTTATTTTCCAGTGTGTGCAATGCAGATAAATGGTATATGCCGGAAAGGGCACAAGTAGAGCTAAAAAGACTCGCAAAATTTATTCAAACACAGGAAGAGCTTCTGTAACAGCTGCAAGATCAAAACCTGACAATTTGATTTCCAACATGTGCAGATGAGTAAAGAAAATTGGGGGCGGAGGAAGAGAGAAATATTGTGGTCGCAGTAATCTCTGTTACTTTATTTTCCTTGTTCTTTTACCAGCCCTAATAATTTCTGTAGCACTGAGGTGTGTCTCTTGAGTCAGCTGGATGACTGAGAGTTGCTAGGAGAGGATGTGGAATTTTTCCTGCTGGTGAAGCTCTCCTAGACCTGCATTTCAGTAGAATTAAAAGGCAACATTTCCTTGTGGGGTGCTGTAAGCTGTTGTGTCCCCCTCTGTTGTCCTGATCTGTCTTGCAGAGCCACTGTGTCTGACTGATTAGCTCTGTCATGGAGAGAAATGAGAAAGATGTGCACAAAAGGCCATTGTGGAGAGACAAGAGGAGAAACTGGGCTAACGGCGGGCTAGCAAAAATGGGAGTGTTGTGCAGAGCGCAGGAAACCTTCCGAGTTGACTTTGTAGTCATAATTCATTGTGTGTATTTGCAAGGCTATCCCAAGATGTTTGTGCAGTCATATCGAGAGGCACCTCCCCCTTTTCTTTTTTTCCTGTCTTTTTAATCAGTAGCTGGCTTGTTCCCTCCCTTCACATCCTCCAAGACCACAACACGCTCCAGATATCCTACTTTTTGCCTACTTCTGTTTTGAATGGGGTTATCTTCTCCAGCAACCTTTTTTTTGCTCATCTTCCTGGCTACTGGCAGTTCCTCGCCACAGAGAGAAGTGGTGCAATTTCTGAGGTGGAAAACGTGCCCTTAGGAAGATGGTCGTCGCTGCAGCTCTCTGCCACCAGCATGGAGCGGGGCAGTCCATCACATGTAGGCATGGTGCTTTGGTTAATAGCTGCACACACCTGTGCATCGTTGAGTGCTTCTCTGTGTTAATATATAATGATTTCAGAAGATTTATTTTTCAGAACAGGCCAAACGTTTGCATGTTTGTTGCAGATGCTTTGGCAGTTGTGAACATTCAGTGCCTCTGAAAGTGCCCAGGGCTCCTGGGGTGCCTCAGCCAGAACGGAGAGATGACCGCGATGTGCCTCCTGTGCTGCCACCAACCATCTGCTTCTCCCTCCAGCTGCAGTTTGTCACCAGGCTTGTAATTAAGTTATGATTTTGTGAAAGTTGAAGGAGAACTTGTATCAAAGTTGGGAAGAGCCTGACTGAAGGGAGAAGACAAATTAGGGGGCCTAAATGTCCTTGACTGAAGGGGAGGAGTAGATTTAGAGAAGCTGGAGAGGAGAGTGAAGGGGACTGTGAAGAAAGGTACAAATCACTATTTTTTTTCATCACTAGCGGTGGTTTGCATGGATAGTGGATCAGTGTGTAGTGTGTACGAGTGTCTGAGATAACAGCTAAACTGGGGGCAGTGATCATTTTGCAGCAGCTGTCCCCTTCCTCAGCTTTGTTTCTTGGCTGCTAATGCTGCTGGAAGATGTTTATTTAGTTTATTTTATATCTGTGGATTTTAGCTCACTTTGGAGTCTGGCACAGTAAGGTATATGCATCACATTCTGAAGTATAGAAAATTCTCATAGGTTTATTATCTCTATCCTAGCCCCCACAAGGGACAAAAGCATCGCTCCATCAGGTATACAAAAGCTGGTGGAGTTTAAGACATCCTAGGATGGTTGGTGGCCTAACGGTAATTTGCAGTAGATAAAGTTTGCTGATTTTGTGGAATAATTCCACGTGCTTAGATTTAACAAAATTGGCTCTGTTTCGCAGGCCCAGATCCAAATTTTGGTGTCTCAGATGTGCAACACTTCCTCTCTTGAGAAGCAAACAATCTGTATGTATGCTTTTTTCTCTGGCTCAGAGAGACTCTGAATTACTTTTTCCTAATCTGGAAGGCAGATCTGCAGGAGGATGACCTTTTAAATGCCACAACCACCACAGATTAACCAAGGGTGTCCTAGGATGGGAAGTGTTACTCTGTATATTTAGTAGCTTGGAGCTTTTCTGTTATCTTGCCCTACTGACTCTTTCTTAGTGGCAGGAGCTGTGTGAAACAGCCTGCTTTGCACCTCTGCGTTTGAGAACTGGAAAGGGAGGAAGATGTTGCGTTTCCAGTGGCAAGACTGCAAGAGGTTGCATTTGTTCCTCTCTCCTCAGTGACTCTGGGAAACTGGAGCAATAAGATTTCAGGAAAAGAGATGAATATCCTAGAGGCAGAAACTTTGTTCTATTTCAAAAATAGAAGAAAAAAGATCTTCCTCAAACCCTGCATGTTTCCTGTGCTGCAGTCAGCGATGCAGATGGTGAGACGTGATAGTAAATATGGCTTTGGGGGATCATGGTTCAGGCAAGAAAGCAAGGGCGAGGGGAACATATGGGTGCTGGAGCTTATTGCAGAAGCGAGGCAGGGGTGCAGTGGAAGGAGCACTCATGTGCACGCTCTTGGGTTTTTTGTCCTCCAGCCATCTTGTTGGCCTCAAAGACAGAGTATTTGTCTAGTTGGTCCCTGATGCAGTATGGTTCTTGAGGTTTCACTCTGGTTCTTCCTTTCTCTGGCGCAGCGCTGCTTGACACCAGTGTAGGGATAGTGGGTTCTGCATCTGCAGGGCACTCTTGCGTTCCTCCAAGGAAAAGCAGCAGCATAGAGGGAGTAGGGTTATCCCCGTGTCTGAATTCCTAGTCAGTCCGCAGAATTGCTCTTTGTAGGAATGGTGAGGATTGAGGGCAGAGAGGGAGTTGTTGTGAATCAGCTGTGCTGTGTCTGACGGCAGACTGCGGTGGTGTTCGGGGCCGCCGGGATGCTCGGGAGACCACGCGGACCTGGGCTTCCCTACCTCCTCAATCTGTGTTTTGTAGCCGTTGTTGTCAGAACAGATTTTAGTGTTGCTGCTGTAGCTTGCTGACAATTAGGCATCTGGCTGATAGCTAGACATTAACGCGTGAGATAAAACAGATTGAACATGTATCGCGGGGTGGAATTAGTGGTGGGCCCGCGCTGCGATGCCTCTCTTGGAAGTGAGCTCATGGGGCCTGTGAGTAACGTCAGCACTGAGGAATTGAAGGGGCATCCAAAGGTTAAGCATATGGCACTGGGTCAGAGAAGAGGGGCTGTCTGGGCTCCTCACCACGAGCGGGACGGGCTCGGTGGCTTCACAGCCCCCCGGTGAGGTGTTACGAATGGCCACGAGTGCATGAGCAGCGTGTACTGAAGCGCTAATTTAGCAGAAAGCACTCTCAAATCCTCCTCTGCTTTTGCAGACTGCAGTAAGAAATTATTAAATTTTCTCTGTGATCTGACTGTGTTTCTGTCAGGGTGACCCTAATTCCATTAGAGCTGCTTGGAGCTGATTCAGAATGACTGTTTTACACTTTCTCCCTCAGCATACCCGTGTGTGGGGGGTTGTTTGTTTTTTTTTTTTTATTTTTTTTTAATGCACTCTGTGCTTCCCTGTCTATCAGCTTTTGATTGTGCATGGGAAAAATGGCTTCGCAGATTTCATTTAATGTTCAGTTCAATTGTCAGCTAAAAGATGTTCTTTTCTAGTCTTTGGAAATGTGTCATTTGCTCCAATAAAATAAAAAACTACAAAAAAATTGCTCTTAAAACAAAACGCAGTGAGACCAGGACCAAAAAATCGATACTTTTACCAGAGATCGTCAGCAATGTGTTGTGGTGGTGTTTTTTTAATTAAGCTTTTTTTTTGATGTCCTGGGCACAGCTTCCATTAGCCAAAGGAAGAGACTAGGTGACCCAACCAAAGTGTTTTCAAGCCAAAATAATATCTTGGTTTGTCTTGCTCGGAATTTCAAAGGGCTTAAAGAAGAAAACCACTTCAAAAGTGACCTTGTAGAATGAAAAGACTGAGAAAGAACTTAGGCCAACTATGCGCGAAGTGATCCGTGGTAAACAAACAATTTACACCTTTTGATTTCTGGAGGTACAGAGCAAACTGGTTTTGTTGGAGGGGAATAGGGGAAAGCTTGCAGCAGTGAGTATGGGCTGGCGATGGCTGGTCCCTGGCCTCTCACCAGTTCTTGGGAGCAGAGAACCTAAATCTGATCTGTCATGAGGCCTTCTTGCCCTTGCAAGGGATAGTCTCAGAAAGATGTGGGTTGTACAGACTTTTTTTTTTTTTTAAACCATTAACAGTGTTTCTTGAAGGTTGATTGGGCTGAGGAGATGCCTTACAAGAGAAAACAGGAAGGCGATATGTGGATGTGGGGATAGACGTGCTGTTGTGCTCGGGAAAACAGCCGCTTTGCAGAGCTGGGCAGTAGGGTCCTGTCCAGCAACCTGGACCTGAGGCTTCTCCATTGCTGCCTCACATCTATTTCTGCTCCCTGTTTTCTTTGCTTGCATGCCTGTCCCTAAAACAGTGCATGTAGTGATTATGTGTAATGGTTTGATCTGATCCAAGCATTGTAACACAGGTAAATACTAATTTCCTACAATTCCACCTTGACTAGCTTGACAAATGTCACCAGTAAAACAAGCATGTCAAATACTATTTAGGGAAACACTGGGATCTGAGGCATAGTGGATGCATCGTTAAGGGACAGGTTGAAGTATTAACCATGGTTATTGTGCAGCTTTATTTTTGGTGCCCCTACTCATCATACTTCCCCTTAAAATATCCAAATTCTGCTTGCCTGTAACTGAATGTTGCAGATGTCATGGTAAGAAGGATGCTCTGAGAGCAGGCACCATCTTGAAAGCAGACAACAGAACTTTCTCTGCGTTTATAGCCGTGTCCCTTTTTGCTCTGGCACTTGCACTAGAGCCATGTGAATTAGTTTGAGTAGGTACCTACAACAGGCCACAGCTTTATCATTTGTCTTTCCTCTTCTTTGTTCCTAAAGCTAACATCACTTGCCTCTGCCATCAGCTCTTAGCTCAACAGTCTCCCTAGCCCCAAATCTCTTATCCATGGGTGGTCTATGTATAAAGGCCTGTGGAGAGTGGAGTAGAAAAGAGAGTAAATACATGGTGATGCCTTCCTAGTGTCCTCTTTCAGCCTTCAGGGACTTGTGGCTCGGGGACTCCTCAGCCTGGAGAGGTGCTGGTTAGCTTTGGACAGGATGGCTCTGGGTTTTGCTCTCGTGCAGCTCTGAGCATGTTGTCAATGATCCGCAGTATCGTGGGGTTTGCTTGAGGACTGCAGCAGCGTAGGGTCTAACTTCTGCCTCTACACCGTGAAACCTTGTTTGACCCCCACCCCCCCCCATGCCGCTCTGTAATGCCTGTGCGCGTCCTAAGCAGCATCCTCCGTTAACATCCGCGTCATTCATGATCACATGAAAACTGAGACTAAGCCGAGTAGCCAGCATTGGTCTCTTACCTTCACAAGAGAATTCCCATGTTTAAATCCCCATGGAAGTTACCCAGCAGAGTGAGAGAGGTTGAGGGGCTGAGATATTTCATGCTGGTTTTTGTTGTTGTTGTTTTGTTTATTTGAGAGAGAGTGTCAGTAACGCTCGTATTAGCTAGATGATATAGAAAAACAGTAAAACTAGCTCCTTAAAATTTTATCTTCAGTGTAAATTCATAGATTTTTAAGGCCAGAAATCAGATCATTATAGTGTTCTACTCTGACCTCTTGCATAGCATGGGCTGTATAATTTCACCTAGTAATTTCTGCATCTACTTTAACAGCTGTGGATGAGCTAGCATGTAGCTTTTAGGAGGCCATCAAATCATGATTTGAAGACTAAATGGTGGAGAATTTACCCGTCTCCTGTGTGATTTGTAAAAATGGCATATAATGATTGCTTTGTACAGACTATATTTATTTCAAGCTTATTTCAAGCTTGGCTTGTGCATTTTCGAGTTCAGACACTGGATATTGTAACCCCTGTGGCAACTAAGCTAGAGATTCCTGCTATTTAATGCAATCTCCCTGAGAAGCAAGTTAAGAGACTGTGGTCAGGGCATTTCTTCAGCTCCTTTTGTAGGAGTTAAGTTGAAAGCTTTGTCGTTTTCTTTGCAGAAAAATGGGTTGTTTTTTGTCTTATGATCCGAGAGAGTTTTTGTAGTAGTTCTCTGATCTTCCAGACTTTTCCTTGGGTTCTTAAAGTCCAGGCCCCAGGGCTGACTGTCTCACCAAGACCTAGAAGAGGAGGAGAAGTAGCCACATCTTGCCAGTGTGCTGCAACATCACTTTTTCCCTTTTGCCCATGGCATTCAACTGGGAACGCAGTTCTCTGCAATGGCCTTTGAATCGCTTTCTGGACCTCTAATTCCAAACTGCCATTTTGTAAGTGTGGCTTGCGTTTCTTGTTCCTGAGTAACTACCTTTAACTGTATTAAA